GGATCAGCCAGCATTATTAAGGTTAGGTGTAGAGGTGGAGAATTCCATTCCATTCCATTTCATTTGCTTTCTACACGCTAATTAACGACTTAAATAATTAAACAGTACGTAACCAACAGCCTGTGATTACATATTAGCCAGCCAGCCCAGGAGGCAATCCACCCACAATCTTACAAACTTCTTTTCTTATCGTACGTTACATGACGTGATACCATCACCACCACAGCGCGCGCACCATATCTTCATATGTAAGGTCATTATTATAATATATATGAGGGTTTGTGAGACCCTACCAATGATCAGATGAAAAAATCTCTTATCGAGTCTATAAATCGGATCGGCAATTTTTAGTGGCATGAAATGTGCAAATCACAATTAAACCATGATTTGTACACAAAGTATCCATGCATTATATCTATCTGTATTCTATTTTCTGTCATGTTGCTTGCTAGTTAACCCTAGATGTGTCATTGTCAAACATGCATGCATTAACTTTGTACGCCTAGGTTATGGGTAGGTGTAGGTGTTGGTGTTGGTGTTGGTGTTGGTGTTGGTGTTGGGCCTTTAAATTGTACGTGGGAGTAGATGACTGGAACATGGATGGGTCTTAATATTGGTGGAACCATATGATTAACGTGTGAAAATTCATGTTCTAGATAGCCTCCTTCTGAACCATGCCCTTGTGAATCAGTATGCAATGTGAAGTTGATTGCCTACAATTGCTTTTTACCTATTTTGGGGGGTTTTTTGTGTTGAGTCACATCACAAGCTACTCTCTCAACTCTCACTACCAAACAGACCAATATCAATGCAATAATTACATCTCAGTGATGGAGTGATGGAGTCAGAAATTTGAATGATGGGGCTAAAAAGTTCTACGCACATAAAATTCAAACTGGCAGGGGTGCTAATCCCTTATCAACTACTAAATGTAATTATACATGTTTTTGGGAGTTGGGGGCTATAACCACCTCTTTCATTAACTTAGCTCCACCTCTCAGTACAAGAAGCTAAAAATCAGCCCTTAGAACTCTTGGGGGTCGTTTGGATGGAGTATTTGTATGAGTTATTTGGGTTCAAATAACTCACAATGAGTTATTTGGACGCAAATAACTCGTTTGGCAGCGTTTTACTGAAATGAGTTATTTGGACAGTGAGTTATTTACAAATAACTCAAAACGAGTTATTTGAAATAACTTATACTCATGTGTTATTTCGAAATAACTCGTTTTATCACTCTGCTTTTACCAAATACCACATGTCAAATACCACATTTCCATGGTTCAACCAAACGAGATACTTTATTTCAATTACCACTAAAATAACACTGAATACCCACATGAGTCATAAATGAGTTATTTGACTCTACAAATACCACATTGACAATTAACCCATCCAAACGACCCCTTGATAGCTAACTATACAAGATAGATCTTTCCTAGTCTCTCTAACTACAACATCCTCATGCTAGGAGGCTTCTCTAAGACACCTTCTGCACCTCTCATACCATATATAAGCAACAATAGTAGGCACACAACTGCATACATTCTCCCTACAATAGAGTGCTCCTTCATTTTCCTAGAAGCTTCCTCCAATGTTGTCTCCCACTTATGTTGTTGAAATCCTGGTAGATTAAACTCATAGGCAACGACTTGTCTCAAGAAAGAGCACTGAAAAAACTAATGCTCTTTTATTTCTTCTTCCACATTACACAACACAATCTTCAATCATCAATTTACCCCACTTATGAAGCTTGTCTCGTGTGACAATTGCATTCTTGATTACTAGCCAGACTATAAAACTGAATCGAGGCACATGGTTCTTGTTCCAGAGAAGCTTGTACCAAGTAACCTTGTTTTGCTTAGGTTTTAGTGTCTCCCAGACCGTCCTCCCTGAAAACTACATCATCGGCATTCCTTCGCATAACACCACTCCTCCCCTTGTAAATGATGATGCAAAACAGGTCTCAACTGAAGTACTCTTCTCCAAAACCATAAACTACTAAGAAAAGCCTTCATTCCCATAAATCTGTAGTACAAATTGATGCAGAGTTTTGCTACATCAAATTAAGACATACAACATGACATTGACCCTCCGAAACAATCATACATGGCCTGGTAGCAAATATCAGGATTAAGCAAAGCAATTATATTACATGGGTACACAAAAGTAAAGAGTGACCCTTGCATTGTGAGGTAGTGAATCAGCTAAATTGTTATCTTCTCTTGTGAATAAGAATGTCTCGAACCTTCTGCTCGCACTCCACGAGAGCTCGAAAATGGAGAATAATTAAGGGAAGCACGCTGGTTGTATGGGTCATCCTAACTCTCAAGGAAGGCCACTACAACAAATGAGTCGAGCTGCGCTCCACCTTTTCAACATTCAAGATGCCAAGTCATCTTATCCAAGGAAAATCATCGCACAATGTTCTACTTTAGGGCCCGTTTGGATTAGGGATTTCAATATTGAGTGATTTAGCCCAAATAACACAATTTAAAAACCCAGGTATTTTATGTGTGGGATTTTGGCACATCACTACACTTGTTTATGGATCCCGAATTCTTGATCCGATAATTTAAAACATACTTGTGAACCTTAAATACGATTTTGCCCTCTATTCAGGTCGGAGACTCCTCCGTCCACACTCAGCAGCCAGCGGGGAGATTTCCTCTGTCCGATCGTCTTCCTTCCCGGGCATGCATCCTCCTTTGCGCCCCTCTCCCTCTCTCCGATTACAGGAGAATCCAAATTGTACCCTTCTGTTGTCGAGATATCAAGCTCCCTTTGAAACCCAAATCGGGCATTGTATAATGATGAGATCATCGTTCTCATCCTTTGCGGTCAGAATTCTGCCATGGTTGGAGTGGGTCTTGCAAGAGGTTTGAGAGAATTAAGGAGGGAGCTCGAAAAGGAAGAGGAAATGTATGGTGTTGTTGGAAGTGATTGAGGGCGAATCCATGAAAGTGAACCCACAGTTGTACTCCCTTTTCAACCATAACTCGCGTGGAACAACAAGGAAAGCTTTTAGCTTTGACTGTAGGTTATCTGTTTGGTTTGTATGGAAGTGTTGCACACATAGCACAGTTGCTAATGTATTTGTTCGTTCATGTATTGTTCCTTTATGATCTACCCCAAGACATTGATGTTCTACGTTGATGAATTCAGGAGTGATGGTGATAGTTCTGAATCCAACAGCCAACTTTTTGTTGAATTCGAGTAGTCATGGTTATGAAATTGCATAAGAAACTTTGCATTGTTCTCTACCAACTGCCCCATTGTTCATCGATAAAATGAAAGAGAGTTGCAGCTGCAAGAGCCTTGCCTTTGGGATCTCCCATCTTTGCAATGTTATGCAACAGTAGCAGGGAATAGAATCATTCCCTAGCTGATCATGATCTAATCATTCATTAGCTATCTAGTATATAGGGTTGCATAACATTATGCATCAGCAACAACAAACTTCTAATGTCAGTATAAATCCTAGCAGCATCAGCTGGTGAATGTTGAGCAACATTATGCATCATCAATAGACTTCCAACATCACTATGAACATAAAAGCAGTGCTCAAACTTAAAACAATAAAATATATATACGGCAATAACCAGTTTATCACAATCAAACCATCCTCAATCATTGCTAATATATATAGATAGATAATCTCACAAAAAGGCTCAACAAATGAACCGGGATTACATCCAAATGGTCTTGCCCCCAAGTTATCAATAATCATGCTAATATATTAAGATAATCCCACAGAAAGGCTCAACAAAAGGAGTTGGGATTACATCCAAATGTTTATGTCCCCAAGTTTTCCATAATCATGCTAATATGTTAAGTTTTCCATAATCATGCTAATATGTTAAGATAATCTCATAAAAAGGCTCAACAAAGGAGCTGGGACTAAATCTTGAATCATGTCTACGAGCTGGGATTGCATAACAACCCTTCCATAAACATAGCCTTATCTTCATTGTTCTCCAGCGCATAGAATATGATCAAGTCCCTGTCATTGTTGAAGAGCTTCCTGAGTGTAGTAATAACTTGAAATATGGTCAGTCCCTCAATTTCCTCCAACTTCTTCAACAAATATGACCTCTTAGTAATGAGATCCTCGCTCTCTCCAAGTGCTCTTGCAATGGTATCCATTGACTGCTTGATCATTGGACGAAGTTCTCTCATTTCCCCGGTCGCATCTATGATACGATCGTCTACAATTTGTTTCTTCCTCTTCTTCGTGGGACCGCCATCAGTTGAGGCACTAGCACTAACAGTTTGTTTCTTTTGCCCGACCAATTCTGCATTGATTTCCTCTATCAATGCCTCATCCACTTCATTGTGTGTGATGGGTGTAGTATCATCATCAGTCGATTCATCACCGAGGCCCTCTGGTTTAACATCATATACATGATATCCATCCGCACGTCCCTTCGTAAAGATTGGTGTCAAGTCCTCGTAAACTGGAAATGGATTCTTGTTTAGCCCTCTACAGTTTGGGTGCTTCTTCAAAAACATATTCAATAACAAAGGGACCATGACTAGATAGTACTAACAGAACCCAAATTTTCAACCAATAAACTAATGACATGAATTATCAGATTCATCAATCAATCATTCTCAACTTCACACACAACAAGCAAGCAAGCGTTGCCTCTTTCGTATATATATGCTACTGAATTTTCATTAACAAAAGATCATTACCAAATGTGAGGTAGAACTGCCCCCAGCTTTCTAACAGAAACTTCTAAAACCCCATCTCAAATATGAGGTAGAACTTACCAGAAGAAACAAACAAACAAAAAATGAAAGTTTGAACTGACGAGCTCAAATTCAGGCAATGTTTCATCAGGACATATATATGACACACATATTAACGGGACCCCATCCCCTTCCAGTTTGTTTCTTCATCAATGTAGTAGCATGTCATATCTTCTTCAGTTTCTTAATCCTTCCTTCTATACGTGGCTTTGCTTTAACACCACAGCCAGGAACCCTTTCCTCCATCATTTTCTCAAGCATTCCATAAGCTCCATTCTTGCAATTTCCATTAGCCATATGTCCTTTCTCTTGCAGCTCCAAAAGACAAGATGTGAATGGCTTGTCGAGATGTTTCTTCCATTTAAAATAGTTTGTTGAAGTAGCATTATCAGTGTTCCCTTCATTGGTTTGCTTCCTCCTCCTCATTCCTAGCAAAATATCCAATGATAACACATATTAACAGGTTAATAGGTGCTGGTTCTCCTTCTGATTGTTGGTGCTAGCTGGGTAGAATAATTAGTTCATCCAATGGAAACACCAACAGAAAGCACAATTCATTCATCCACTTAGACCAATAAACTGGTTGCATCAAACAAGTGTCCACAAACAAAATTGTTTCTCATTAATTTCGGAACAACTCATAACAAAGTAACTCATAATAACAATCAACTGTTGAGTAGTTCCTTACAAAACATACTGAGTAGTACCTTAATAAAAGCTGAAGTTCTAAAATATAATAAATAGCAAAAGTGAAAGTTGTGCAGGGTACATGCTACTGATTCTTAGAGAAGCATAGTAGTTAACAAGAAACTGTAGGTTGAGTGAAAAACAACAAATTAAGCATCAAGATCGGAATCGTGCAGGACGATTTTGCCACATCTCATTTGCCAAATCAGCTCTAAACTGAGTCCATGCAGTAGTTAATTGAGTGAGAGTGATTGAAGGCGTATCAACTTCATTGTGTTCATGTTGCTGAGTGGGTGGGTCTCTATAAGTTCTTTCATAAACATCCACACCATGCTCCCTCTTTATGAAATTTTGGAGAAGGCAGTACCACTATTCGAGGTACTACAGGTACGGGGAACCAAGTTGCGTCTCCAAGGATTGCCATCTCATCTTTAAGATTCCAAAGGTCCGTTCTATCACATTCCTGGCTTGTGCATGCCTCCAGTTGTTGTACGCTTCTGCAGTACGTGGCAAACGTGCCCCCCTGGTCAATGTGGTAACTTGGGCCTCGAATAGGAGTCAAAACCCAGGACAGTTCCCGTAACTAGAATCACATAGGTAATATCGTCCTAATGCAAAACATGTATGGTTAGATATCCCTAAATACTTATGTTAGAAAATGAATGGATTCATAGCAAGGATCTGTAGATTTATTACCTTCAGGTACAGTAAGACCATTAGGCCTATTTAATGCACCCCTCAAGACCCACGCATCGTGAGCAGACCCTTCCCAGCCCTCCAGACAATATATAAACTCTAAGTTGGGAGTACAAACTTCCAAACAATTGATTGTAAGATGACCACTCCTATTCCGATACTTAGTTTGTTCCTCCTTCAACGGTCGGACATCAATATGTGTACCATCTAGCGCCCGCAAACAGTTCTATCGCAATAAAAGAGAAATAATTGATATTAACATTTAAAGACTTTAATTCAGAAAGAAATATTATGCAGAGGGTTGCAATACCGATCTTAAAGTACTTCCATCGTCCATTTGTTGAATCAGCTTGGATGGGTTGAGGCTTCTTCATTATAAACTTGTTGAGTCTAAGAACTGCCTTTAAAACTCGATGGAAGGATCGATAAATAGTTTCTGTAGATCGACGCAAATCTACAGCAATGCTCCTATTCTTATCATTATGGAAAATGGTAAGCAGAAAGGTGAGCACCATTTCATCTATGTCAACGTTCCTAGTCTTTTTCAATTGTCCCTCAACAACTAGTAGGTCACACAGCTTCTTAAATAAGGAACAATTCATTCTAATCTTCCTATGACTCTCAATGTCACTACTTCTTGTACATCGATGGATCTCTTTTTGCCTATCAATGTGTCGCATCATGTACCCATCTAATGGTTGCCTACCAATTCTTGGATTTAAACGTGAGAGCTCTATCAGCTCCGTTACTTCCCTTCCCAAGTCAACATACAATGCTACAAGATTCCCAAATGCACTAATGGCCGCAATAAGCTTTCGCCTTTCTGGAGAAGACAACGTGGACATACGAGACATCCCTTCCCAATATGAAAAATAAAAATTTATCAAACTCAGATACACAACCAATTACTTACTCAATAGTTAACAATGTACTGAAGTAGATAATAGATAGAAACATCTTGGCTACTACTACTCCAAACAAATGCAATAACTTGATCACAACAAAACTAGTACTGAATAGATAATAGACAGAAGAGACAACATTCTAAGTGCATAATTATTAAGTTAGATGTACTAGTACGTGTGGCTTAAACGCAAAGGGATCCACACTACAAGACAGGTAATCCCACAACTAGCAAGCATAAGAGTCGCACACACAAAAGGGCATCAAATCTGAATTAGCAGAAGCAGCAAGGTCAAGGGGCATGTGGAGAATCTGTTTCTAAGGATGAATGGCGCGAACAAGGTGATAACACTGGCTCAACAAGCTGAAGATGCAACACTTCAAGTCAAAGCAGGAAGGGATGGATTTCAAGAGTAGCTGAGAGCTCTCGAGGTGGGAATTAGTGTGATTGGTGTTATGGGTATTCTTGAGAAAGAGAGTGGCGAGTCGAAGACAGGTCTTGACCTTGATGATTGGGAAGAAGGAGTCGTAGCACTGGAAAACGGTTTCCCTCAAATCGAGAGAAGATATTGAAATCGATTTCAACTCGTCTATGACAATCGCGGAAACACCCAACAAACCATTCTCTTATTTTTAATCACAAATCCCAATCGCAGATAACCGAATACTAATTGAGCCCTCTACAATCTGGCCTGGCGGTAGGAAGAAGAACCCTCGTCCGTCAACCCAGCAACACCAATCAAACGGAACACGGATGAGGAGAGGAAACAAACCTGGAATCGTTGGTGATGATGCGGAGCTGTAGAGAGTTTCCGTCGAAGCCCTTGTGACCCGCCAACAGTCGGTGTCGAGTCCGCCGACCAGTCGCCTCGAGTCTCTTTTGTTGGTGGATTACTCGAGCAGTGCTGGGAGTCTGGTAGCAATAGGGTTATTCTGCTAACTCTATAAGTAGTTAGTATATACTAACACGACCGGATTTGACTTTTGAGGCCATGTAGGCGAGCCGCGATCGGACGGTGGAGGGGGAAGAGAGCAGCTTGTGGCTCGGGTGAACCAAGCCTCTTCCTACAATTAAAACAAAATTGGTCTCGCAATTCAAAAAAACCAAAAAATTTCATTTATGTTTAATTTTCTTTTCTCTCTCCATCATTTCATTTTCCTTTCTCTCCCACTCTCCAAAACTGTCGACTGCTTTTTCTCTCTTCTCTTCTTCTTCTTCCTCTCTCTCTCTATCCCAAATAATTCAAAAATACCTCTCGACAACGACGGGCGTGAGAAACACGACGCCGACAACGAGGGCTACAGACAGGAAGAAGACGACAACGCAAAGAGAAGACGGTGGTGCTTGGCAGCGCCAGTAGCGGTGCTTGAAGGAAGACGAAGTCGGCCAAGCAAGAAGGAAGACATCGATGCCAGTAGCGAGAGGAAGACGACTACACCGGCTGCGAAGAGAAGAAAGTTTTTGAGGTAAGCATCTTCATTTCTCCTGATTCATTGAGAGCACCAACGCGACGGTGAAGGCAGATCTTTGAGGTAGGTGTTTTATCCTTCTTTGATTCATGGATACGAATGTTGGATTACATATATTTGATTTAGGGTTTCATAGATTCGACTGGACCTGAGTATTATTTTTTGGCTTTGTTTTTTGGATCTGAAATTCATTGTGGGGGATCTGGGATTCTTGTTGGGGGATTTAAGATTTTGCTTTCTGTGCCTTGGGATTCGATTTGGGGATCTGGGATTCGATTTGGGAGATTCGGGATTCTTTATATTTGATTTAGGGTTTTATGGATTCGACTAGATCTGAGTTTTTTTTTTTTTTTGCTTCATTTTTTGGATCTGAGATTCGTTGTTGGGGATTTGGGATTTTGGGGGATTTGAGATTCGCTTTTTGTGCCTTGGGATTCGATTTGGGGGATCTGGGTTTCTTTTGATTTGGGGGATTTGGATTTCTTTGATTTGGGGGATCTGGGATTTTCTATGGCTGGGATCTAGGATTCGATTTGGGAGATTCGGAATTCTTGTTATTTGATTTAGGGTTTCAGGGATTCTTGTCGGAGGATTTGAGATTCGCTTTCTATGCCTTGGGATTCGATTTGGGGGATCTGGGATTCTTTCAATTTGGGGGGTTCTGAGTTTTACTCGTTAATATGTTAGTTTGTTGACTTGAGATATTATTTAGCATGCTTGGGATACTAGTTCGTTGAATGTGGATATTGTTTGGGGGTTCTGAGTTTTGCTCGTTAATATAGTAGTTTGTTGACTTGGGATATTATTTAGCATGCTTGAGATACCAGTTCGTTGAATGTGGATATTGTTTGGGGGGTTCTGAATTTTGCTCGTTAATATAGTAGTTTGTTGACCTGTGATATTATTTAGCATGCTTGGGATACCAGTTTGTTGAATGTGGATATTGTTTGGGGGGTTCTGAGTTCTGCTCATTAATAAGGTAGTTTGTCGATCGGGGATATTATCTAGCATGCCTGAGATACCGTTTTGTTGAATGTTGATATTGTTTTGGGGGTTCTGAGTTTTTCTCGTTAATATGGTAGTTTGTTGACCTGAGATATTATTTAACATGTTTGGTATACCACTTTGTTGAATGTTGATATTTAGCATGCCCATGATGCATGGATATTTGTATGCTAGGTCTGGATATTGGTATGCCCTATATGGATATTAGTCTGGACTGTCCATATGCCTAATGATTTCTTTTTATGTATTTCAGGAATTTTGCAAGATGCCAAGATTCAAAAGTTGTTCGATTCCAGCCCTCCATGAGAAGGGGAGGTGGAGGCACATCACTAGCTCAAAATTATTGCCTTTTCATTTCTTATGTGGTTGTGCTTTTTTTTCGGATTTGAGATTTTGGGATTGCCAAGTTGTAATGGCATAGAATACTAGTTTTATCGCGGTTTGTCGATAAAACAACTCTTTATTATTATGGATTTGAGTTTGTTATTCATGAATATTATTATGTTAGGTATGGATATTAGTTATGAAATGTATGGATATTAATATGCGCTGTCTAGATATTATGCTCTCATATTAGATCCGTGAGGTCCAATGTTACTTAAGTGAGCATCAAACCCTTTTTTTGTGAGCATTTATCGGATGGCTCCAAAAAAGTATCCACACCATAATCCAACAGACTACACACTGACTAATATCTTATTGTTGTACACTAATCTGAATCGTTACAAAAACTGTTAGATGCTTAAATAAACAAAGGATCATATCGGAATAGTTACCAAAAGTGGCCCATTAGAATATCCAAAGTCCCAGAAAAATATCCAGAAATATGAACTAATGAACCCTAAACCCTACAACTAAAATGAATATCCACACTACCCATAAGAATATCCACACCACCCAGTCTAATATCCCACCGTCTTAGAAAAATATCATGTGATCCCAAAATTAAGATTATCCATATATAACAGACTAATATCCATCACACACAGACTAATATCTTATTGACTAATCTGAATAGTTACCAAAAGTGTTAGATGCTTAAATAAACAAAGGATCACATCGGAATAGTTATCAAAAGTGCACCATTAGAATATCCAAACGTCGCAAAAAAATCCGAAAACATGAACTAATGAACCCTAAAACTAAAACGAATATCCACACTACCCAGACAAATATCCACACCACCCAGTCTAATATCCTTCTGTCTCAAAAGAATATCATGTGATCTCAAAATGGATATTATCACTATAACAGAATAATATCCACCACATACTGACTAATATATGATAGTTGTAGACTAATCCGAATAGTTACCAAAAGTGCTAGATGCTTAAATAAACAAAGAATCACATAGAAATAGTTACCAAAAGTGCCCATTAGAATATCCAAACGTCCCAGACAAATATCCGAAAGCATGAACTAATATCAATTCAACCCAAAGCTAATATCCGAACCACGTAAACTAATATCCTTTCATTGCAAAAGACCACAGGACTAATAACTAAACCTTTAACCCTAAAAAAAATAAACCCTAAACCCTAACACTAACACCCTAATCACTAAACTCTAAACAATAAAAACTATTATTATTTCATATGCTTAAATAAACAAAGGATCACATCGGAATAGTTACCAAAAGTGCCCCATTAGACTTATCCACACGTCCCACAAAAATATCAAAAAACATGAACTAATATCAATTCAACCCAAAGCTAATATCCGAACCACATAAACTAATATCCATTTATTGCAAACGACCACAAGACTAATAATCCCTAACCCTAAAAAAACTAAACCCTAACACTAAAATCCTAATCACTAAACTCTAGACCATTAAAGCTATTATTATTTCATGGGCCTTCGGCGGGCAGCCCTAACTAAGGTTGCAAGCTTTATGTGTTAAGACTTGATAGGGTGTTTAGTTTTGATGGAAGACACAATATCCATCGCATATACTATCAGTTCATGCAAAAATTTGTTTGTCGATTGCCGAGACTAAACCGTAAACCCAAACCTTAAACTCTAAATCGCAAACCCGAACCCTAAAACCTAAACTCTAAATTGGTATAATCAGTTTCGGGTGGTTGGATTATATTGGGGTTTGATAAACATTAGTTGAATGATGGATATTGGTTTGCGAAGAAAGAATACTAGTTTATTTCAACAATGATACGAAGTAATATCAACACAACACAGATTAATATCGGGTGAAAACAAATAAATATCCTCACAAACAAACACACATAAATATTACATGGATAAGCGGGCCCACAATTTTCGTTCTCTCTCCATTCCTCTCCAAAATCCCGTCCAAACTGAAGCGGGCCCACAAAGCTGCTTCTTCGGCACGTCCTCCAAGCCGCATGATGGCCCGGCTTATACCCACAAGCCCATCACTGGCTCACTACCAAAGCCTGCCTCTCTCCTCCGTTGGATCTTACCTGGTCCGACGTGGCATCAAATCTAACCCCATTAGTATCTGCTAACGGATCTAGCAGTTAGCAGAATAACTTCTGCGGTCTGGGAGAGTGACGAAAAAATAGGTGAAAGAGAATGGCGATTGAAAATGAAGTTTGAGAGTAAAGATGGATTTGCAAATTACAATAGGGACAAAATAGGCATAACGGACATAATAGGGCAGGATTTTTAAAATAGCTGGGTAGGGGCAGCTATTTTGAAGGCAGCTATTTTGAAAATTGGGTCATGTAGGATTTACAAATCCGACGGGAACAAAATTTTTGGTTCTTAAAGACCTTGTCAAACAAAGAATTGTACCAAAATTCGGGAATATGAGTGATTGTGTCAAAATCCGGGACCACAAACCCCAATCAAACAACCCCTAGAACAATTTTTCTTGTCTATCATACTGTGGCCCCTTTAAATTTACAAGTTATTGCTACGATGACCAATACTTTAAGGAACCGCCAGAAATTGTTCAAGTCGAATTAAGTGTTGCGGAAGAATTATTATTTTATGTTTCTGTGACTCTTGACCGTGTCTTCCTTTCCTTCCCGTTTGCACTGATGGATTGTCGTGGCTGTTTATCCGTTACAAGAACCGGCGCAGGCAGGAATCATGCTGCTGCTTCTGCAAGCTTTGACCAGACGGCCGTCTCCCCCACAATCGAACAGTTAGTCATATCCAGACACAGACATACAGTGTAGTTGGTGACAGAATATTAGATATATGTAGCTGTCCTCTAAATCTAATACTCTATTCCAATTATCAGCAGCTGAGGGAAGGACACTTGGCAACCAAACACAGGTCAGTTACCAAATATTTGAGGACTGCAAGTTACTCTCTCACATGTCAATCGCTCCCCATAATTAGCATCCCATGTGCTTCTGTTCTGCCACCATACATAGATTCCTTTCTCCTAACTCTTACTACCAAACCACATTTATCAACTCCAAACACCCTTTTTTATATGCATATATGAATTGTTATTATGAGAATAATGTCACATATTTAGTTGAGTATTCTGATGCAACATCACTAACTCGAACCAATTAAGACGAGGCGACCGCCGAATGAATGATGAGCTACTGCACAGCCTCACGAGAATGATGTGGTCAGGTCAATGACAAATACAATAAAGCTGTTCCAGAACGTGGCATGAGTTGTGTGCTGGCTTGGCTAACTCACTCAACAACAACAACGAAAGAAGAAGAATAAGAAGATTCTGACACCGCAACTCGCGGGGCTTTGGTCAACTTAGCTTAAAAGACATAAATTATAAACTACTGTAACCGCAGATTTATTGTAACCACCCTCAAACGGGAAATGATAGACAGCCCCTTTCCACTTGCTGGACTCACCTTTGCTACAATGTGAGTGAATTCACTATATAATAATATGCTCTTCTCTTTGCTGGCTGTGGTTTCAACTTCCAACCACTTCCCACGAAGAAACAGCTCAACTCTTCTCACTTCCAATATTAACAATTTGCCATCAAGTATGAACAGGTTTGGTTTCATCAGCGGATCATTGATTGGTAAATGCGCAGTCCTCGTCCCACACCTCCTCCACCTTCCCCATATTCATTCTCCATGACAATCAGTTAGTTAATCATCTTCTACGATGATCAACTTCGGTATCCCTGAACTCACCAGTCACCCTGTTAAGAAAGGTCGGTTTACACACTCATCATCGCCATACTCGCTACACAAAGGAATGACTTAAGAAAGCACTAAAGAAAATACTATTTCCATACCTGTTATATGACAAGTACGCGTCGCCTATGGTACCCACAACCTTGTTTCGAACCTTCCGAACACAAATCTGCAGAGAACATGAATTGTGTTTGTGCGAGTGTCAGTACCATAAGGTCAAATTGCAATCGAATTTGAAAGGGGATATTTTGTGATTTGGTGCATGTTTGTTGTGTAAGCAAAATGGAGATGTTCAGCACCTGGACTTGATCAATATCCCCAGCGTCGGGATTTCTGTTGCGATGAATAATTATCCCATTGTCACATTTGTTTATGAAATGGGCACTCCCGCTTATATCATACATATTAGGCGGGCCACCTATCCAGTTGTGCAACTGATTGTTAGACAAAAGAAAGTGTGTGAACAAATACCATAAACCCAATAGTCAAAGGGAAAATGACTTGAGGAAAAGAAAATTAAGTCCAGGGGAGCATCATCACCTGTCTCGGATGCGCAACGAACCACACATGACACGAATGATGTTGAGCAAATCTTTTTACCAGAGTCAGCATCTGACTCACATACTCTGTTTCGGTCCTAATCACAACAAGACATGTGTTTAATGGATAATCCTCCAAATATTAGAATCAGGCATTAACATTAACAATCAGCTACTCAAAAGTCTTGATTTGGAACCAGTATTAGCCAACCACAATCATAAGCCATGGCATACCCTGAAACTACGAAGGAAAGAGACCTCAGCAAGGTGAAATTCTCACATGTTAGGTGGACGCTGATGATCAAGTTCATTGTAAGGATCAATTACAAGTCCACGGACACCATATCTAAGCACTGCTGCTTTTGCAAGACTAAGTACCCATCTTATGCTTGGAAGTGCATCATCTTCACATCTATTATTCCACCATAGAGATGCCAGCTCAGATTCACATCACAAGCAAGCAAAACAATTGAGTTTTTTGCATCACCAGAAAGCTTGACAAAAGATGGGAAAGTCATAAGACGGCTAATATGCTTTTCTATTTGCCAGTAGTATTCAGGCTCTGGGAATTACCCAATCTACGTTCTCCATAGTGGAGTCAATGCAGGTTTAAGTTACCTTATGAGATGGAATGTATCATTTAACCACTGCTTCCCTCGCTCATACTCCATGACATCAATGCGTTCAGCAGATTCTCCATAGCTACGAAGAAGAAAGAGGACAAGAAAAGTTTACCAAAATTTTAAATAGAGATAATGAAAGGATACTAATTGACAAGCAAAAGGGTGTCCCCAAGACAGGACCCTATACAAAAAATCTTACTCCAAGAAATCTCTACATGATTTCACAGTAATTCAGACATTAACAATGATAATAGTTCTGTTACAAAACAGTGATTATAGCTACACAACTTGCTTGGATGAATAAAAGTATAAGAAAAACAAGGAAAAGGGGAAAGCATGTTGAAATCAAGCTAGGAAGAACATAATCGTTGCAACAAGAAACCGCTTGCAAGAATAATGGAGACAGGGATACACATAGGTTAGAGCAACAAAAAAATAAAAAGAGATTGACACCAACTCACGGAGCATCAAAAAACGGCTTTCTAACATATTTCTCCATCAGCTTCCTAGCATGGTCTCGAACCTACAGTAGCGACAAGATGACGATTAACACTGCAAGTACATACAAAGACCCCATAAAACAAATATAACTGCAGAGGTTGGAAGAAGGCCAACAAAGCAATTTGACTATTTTGCAACAACATATATGAGACTTATGATTCACAACAAATATCTGCAGTACATCCATTTCTTTCGAACCTAGTTTAGATTTCTTGGTCTCATCAACGGAGTTAAAAGATTTTACACCTATTATGGCTAGTAGATCTTATTACCAGAGGCAAACTTATGATGACTACAGACTGTCCATCGCCGTAATTAGCCCAAGCGCAGTCATCTTTCAAAAAAGCGACAAACTAAACTATATAATGTGCGAATTTCAGGTTGATGATAACTTTTAAAAGGAAATGGCTTTCTTTCACTGCAGAAAGCATAAAAAGCAGTACTCTATAGCTTACATTGTTCTCCATAGAGCAAAGAGCAAATTTCCAATCAGCACTTCTATTAAGGTTGCATAAAAGAGCATCAATCCATTCACTCTTGCCAGAATTCGGTACCCCACTTACTATCGTCAACTCTCCTGGTAAAACCTGCAATTGAACAGGTTCAGAACAAATTCCGCGGCAAAACATGCACACATCATTTTCTTGTTTCATTGGGACTTTTAAAAGAAAACAACTACAAATCTGAGAGTGAACTTAAATCTTTGTCAAATGTTTCATGATAGATAATGCAGAACTCTACCATAATCTTTGTCTAGCGCTTATATATCCATCAGTACTTATTGGCTTGCTCACGTCACATTGCCTTTGTCATTGCCATTCAAAAAATCATATCAATGTCCTTTCACCTTTTTCGTCAATTAATTACACAATTGAAAATACGGCCCACTTTACAAATGAATTATCACCGAGTTAAAGAAAGTTCTTCTTACACTGTACAGCCCATCTAAAGACTTCCATCCTGTTGAGACACCAAACTGATATCCTTGAGTTTGATGATAATACGAGTCGATTTCATCAAAGAAGTCTCTGAAGAGGAATAATCCTTTGATGGGATATAGTTCCGCATCATCAATTGCATCCTTCAGTGCTTGAGGACCCAAATACATTAGCACCTGCGAGTAGAGTTGGAAGTATAATTATGGAGGTCCCCGCAAAAAAATCACATAATCAGTTCATTGGCTTGTTATGAGACCTCATTTGCATCTTTGCAATAACTATCTGCATTTTTCCTTGGCCATTTGACTCGCCAGCATCTGCATTCCCAAACAAAGATAACAATATTGCTCATAATTACAATCATTGTATGATAAATGATATAATAGGCAGACAGTCTCCTCAACCTTTCTCTTCCAAGACGCCGTGCAAGCTCTTCTGCCAATGCTTGACCAGGAGGGTCTCCATCGGTAGCAAGTATGATGCGAGATGCCTATTAGAGTGGTTGTCAAATAGTATGTTATACTGTGGTACATTGCTTCAATAAGGTGTACTGAGGATGAAATCATTACGCACCTGCTTCAAATACTCTTTGCAATTCCAAAGATACTGATACTTTGTGTCCTAGCTTCACAAAATACATGAAAAGGGATATCAATTACAGAAACAAGGTGAGAAACTGCCATTATCATTCTATCTGAAAGCATGGAAACGTGTTCTAGACAAGTTCACAATTTGAATCCATGAAATTTTGACATGCTAGGATTTTCCAGGCATGGCTGCTAAACAGCATCCACAACTTGTAAAGCTTGTAGCAATCCAATTTCAGCTACTCCAACAAAAACAGATTGAACAGGTCAGCGATGTTTATACGACTTAAAACAAAAATAAAAACTGATCGTAGTAGCAGTCAGTTACCAGATTTTGCATTGCGATCAGATAACAGGAAAAATAGGACGAAATAATCAGTATATTATTAGTTACCAGATTTTGTACAAACCTGGGATTCGGGTGGCAAATCCTTGGACGAAACCAGTGGAGGTGCTCCATCAGGAACACTCACACAATTACGGAATCCAGCCTCTTCCATTGCAAGCTTGTCCATTTCACCTTCAACCTAGATGCAAAAATAGATAATCATGTCTCATCATGTCGCCAATTACAAAAGCCTCCATTGAAAACTTGTATGGAGTATACATACAATGATAATATCATCAGATCCCTTTATGTCATCCAGCCCGTAGAATATCTTTTCGGTATCCTTTTCCTGAAATAAATGCACGAAACCTAAGGATCACAGAGGGGGATACTATCAAAATCTTTCGTCGGAAAGATTTTGCAATGATGCTAGTTATCATATCTACCAAAAATTTCAAGTAAAGAGGTAGAAGCTTCTTGGAACGAGTAAGATTGACAACCCTCAGAACTTAAAAAGTTACTACTATGCATAAACTGAAGTTTCAGCAAAACTGTCGTTTGAAGTTAAGATTTCTATATAGGTGAATTTGAGTAACAGAGAGATCTGAGAATATGTGAGCTTTCTATATTTGGGAGATTTGAATTGATACTGTCTGTTGGTGTGAATTGAAGTGGATGAAAGTGTATTGAGAAATGCGATGAGTTGGAGAATGATACCCCACTCTAATTGTGTTTTGAAATGTTTGTACACATTAATCTCAATAATTTTTCTTCTTCTCTATACTTGTCTTCCCAATATATTACTTCTTTTATTCTGTCATCTCCAATCTCTTACTTGACACTCTTAAAAAATCATCTTAGTCTATAATAATAAAACAAGATCATCTTTTAATGTATGCTATGTGAGGATTTAGAAGAATCAACAGCCCTTCTATTCTTTCAGTTTTCTTATTCACAGCTGCTGCTGGCATGCATCAAGTGTAATAACATGTTCAATGCAGCAGATTGGAATGCCATGGTAGAGAGGATATGTTTGCAGTCTCATTGTAGGACTGCAGCTGGAAGGATGAGTGGTTTGTTAAGGACAGCTTTAGTGACTTATATTGGGCAGGCGAGATGTTGAAGAGCTCATGGGGAGAAACCAGGAGTGCTGTAAGTGGTGGCAGACTGCTGAAAATGGACTTAGCTTTGATAAGTAGCTAAAATGATAGTGCCAAAACAGACTTGTTAATGCTGCAGATTTTAATTTGACTGAGTGTGTGCAAAGACCAATTTGTTAATCTGTTAGTAGGTTGTAGTGAGTTTGATGTAGTGGTGTTTTACTTCTGTTCTTTGCTTCACCAGGATCCTATTTTGGGGTGCCTGCTTCATTGTATCCGGAACAGCGAAATGCGAATGTTTGCTTTTGTGCATTCTGTCTGAGCTTACTACGAGTTGCTGATTCAGCTATAAAAGAAACAGTAAAAGAAAAAAGACAAGATCTAAAAAGTGTTTTCTCCTGTATATGAGGGGGGAAAATCAAGCTAAATAAAATAAAATAAAAATGAATGAGGTTATTTGGTTTTCTAATTTATCTTCTAAATTTATTTTATTAAATATTATTATTATTTTATTGGAGGTAATTTTGGTTTTTTAAAAAAGAAAGAGGATATAAGTGTCGAGAGATATGCCAAATCAAGTTGGCTACAAGTTGATATGCAATTCAATCAGATGAAGGAATTGCAATTCTCCAACAGATGGAATTGTCCAATTCTCCAGCCAAAACGGCAGAGGATTTGCCAGTTCAACCAACTGAAATAATTGAGGCACAAATCCACCAGTCAAATACCACCTTCAAACAACCCCTTAGTGTCGTTCTGATCCATGAAAGCAAAGTTTGGGGGAATTCGGGTGGCAAATCCATGGACGAGATTGCAAAACACCAGCAGAACCCATTGCATTCAACGCTTTCTACTGAAGTAATACTCATAAGACAAACCTGCCAAAATTTCTTGTTAATGTCTCGATACTTGCAGCTTACAAGCATCCCGTTTCTTCCGTAAGTAAATGCAATAACAATCTGCAAAGTAAAAGCAGGCCATTATAAGAGGTACTTGCACCCCGTAAGTACCCACTTCATCCTTATATCAAACAGCCCACATAAAACGGGAGGAAAAAACAGCAGAATTAATATGACAACATAACAATATCAGACAGCAGAGTGCAGTATTCACAGGGGTAAATTTCTAGGCACATAATCCAAATATATAATCAGTTTGTAGCAGGACTATTGTATTTCAGATGTTGCCAGCTTCTTTTTACAAACTTCCAGTGGCAAATAACTGAGTGGGTGTTATGATCCTTATGCATGAGAATAACAATGAAACGTATCAAAGCAGGATTAGTGTGTTTGTGGATTTGTCTTTATGCTTTGTTTTTTAGCTTCCTATTGCAGATAATTGAATCCTGTTAAGCTCCTAGTTACCCAAGAATTTTGCTGAAATCACACTCAACCCAGACTTTCTGAGGGATCTTAGTCTTGCTCAAGACAGAACAAAAATTGTTATTGCAGCCTCCTCGGTAAATTTTCTAGATAGGCTGACGAGATCAACTTTTTCTACGTAGTGAAAGGGTTCTCAGTTACTCAGTGACAACAAAAAAAAACATCAGTCAGAACTGTACAGGTTCACAAGGGAAATATAGAACTGTACAGGTTCACAAGGGAAATATGCTCCAGATCACTTCTTCTTCCAACCTTGAACCATATATACTCTTTTTACTCTTTCAAGAAACATATTGATATGGATTTTAAACACCAAACTAAGATGAAGCAATGACAACTGCTCTTCCACTGAACAAAAACAACTATAACAAGAACACATTGCAATATACAAGAACTTGTATAAAGCATCACACCTGATTGCCATGAGCCTTCTGCATAACACGATTTCTCAACAAAGTTTCACGAGATATGTCCCGTTCTTTGAAGTAACCAACAAGCTGCAAGCACAAAAAAGCTCATATTGATGCATTAAACATGGCGCACATATCCAATTGAGGAATGAACTCATAGATGAACATATGTGAACTGGAAAGACTCGAACTGTAAGATGAACAACCTCACTGCATAGTGGTTCCAACTGCAGACTCTCCTCTGTAATTTCCCTTGCTTTCTTTTGGCGAGTACGTTGTTGAACTGGGTTTTTAGAGGTTGAGCTGGTAGCATGCTGCTCGAAGTCAAACCAGGAGCCTCAAAAAAGACATCCAGAGAAATGTAAAAGAGAAAAAACAGGTCAAAGAAATTAGCTTACTTTGGTTCCTCCAGTCCATCCACATTTCGCCCTATGACATATCCATGATGCTCTCGTACTGCATTATCAAAACATCCAAACTTAACATGACCATATTCAAAGAGGAAAGAGGATCGATTAGGAAAAGTGAAGCTGAAGATTATACCCATCAGCTTCTATGAGAATAGAGAACGACTTCTCTCCGGAATCACCACCTTGGCACTAGCATACAACAGAAACTCAAGTCACAACCAAGAGTTACTATCTAGTCTAAACTTGAGCAAGAAATAAGACACCATGAACTTCCACCTTAAAGTTCCATACTTGTCCAATAATTCTTGTTAGGCGACACAACTAAAACCAGCCGGCATTTAAGCAAACGATACTGAGGACACTCGAATCATTGACAATTCAGAAAATACTGAAACCTAAGCTGCCATTCCCATTTGTAACAGGAGCTAGGAGCTCACCTTTGGACACCATAAGCCATTGTACTGACCGGGGGCTAAGTTATCCATTTCGATTCCACACTCCGCCAATTGTTTCCGCAGAGCGTCGCTTTTCCATCCTCCGCCCACCGATATATTACCTGAAATTGAAAACGAGATTTTTAAGTCCTCCCTCAAAAGAAAAATCTCTACTTCGGTACGCCATTAGAGTTACTACTCCAGGAAGCGTGGGAGAAATTACCTGGAGGGGAAACAGGAAGAGTCGCATGCCCATTGATGTAGAGGGAACGAGAGTGGTTTCTAGAGATGGGTTTTGAACAAAGCACTGGGAGCAAGCGCTTTCCAGCGCGGCATAGGTTTATATTGGAAAAAAATTGAGAAGGAAGAGGTGGGAAGTGAGGGACGGAAGCTGTGGCGGGTTTGGGAAAGAATCTGGAGCCCATGTGAGACATGGCAGCAAAAGCAGCAGTTGAGGACGAGGAGGAGGAAGAAGATAAGAAGGCTAGTTTTTTACCACGGCTGGAATGAGCAAGACGGAGCATGTCTCTCTTGTCTTTTTGCGGATGATTGGTTGGCGCTTCTTTATTTTCGACCGGATTCCATGGCTGACGGGCAGCAGGAAGGAGGGAAAACGGAGAAGATAGGGGACGGGGGCGAAACAAGGAGGGTTTAAGAAGGGCTTCTGCTAGCGACCTAAACACTCTGTTTGGGAAGAGGGGTAAATGGGAGGAGGGTGCAAATGTGAGGGGTAAACACAGTTTACAACACATTTGCACCTGTTTGGTTAATTTGGAACAGTAGGGGGTGCAAAACGAGAGTGCAAATTTACTGTTTTGGCTTACCCCCCGAATTGGGGTGCAAAGGAAGGAAGGAAGAGAGGGGGAGGGGGGAATTATGGAATTTTGTTTTTCTAATTGTGTTATATATAATTATATAATAATTAATATTATCAATTTCTTCTTTTTATAAATATCATTAATGTAAACATTATTCGGGGTTGACCATTTGACTCTGGAAACAAGTTTATAAATGTTCGTCAAGTCAAATCTAGATCTCTTGGTTGAATCGAATTTGCATTTAAAATTAGATATACAAGGTGTTTGTGGAAAAGATAGAGAGAAATTGTTTGGTTAACTCATTTTATTTGACTAAATAGTTAAAACTTACAAATTCGAACGTGTTTGACTAAGTTTGACAATTTAAGATTAAACTAGACACGAAAACCCTATATAGGATGACCAGTTAGGAGTTGAGCTTCGAGTTTTGAGATCGCTCGATCAATGATTATTACAATTGTTATAATTAATTATTATTTGAGCATTATTATATAATAACTATTTTTAGTAAAGTATATTTATTATTATATAGTAATATTTATTTTATTATTTTATGATATTATTTATAATTTTAAAATCTATTTTATAATTTTAAAATCTAATAATATAATTACTTACTTTGCACTTTATTTGCACCCCCCCCTACTTTTTCATCCAAACAACAATTTACCCCTCCACTTACACCCCCCAGAAATTTGCACCCCCCCAGCAATTTGCCCCTCAACTTGCACCCTCCTGCAATTTGCACCCCCCTTGTTGCCAAACAGAGCGAAACACTCTGTTTGGGAAGAGGGGTAAATGGGAGGAGGGTGCAAATGTGAGGGGTAAACACAGTTTACAACACATTTGCACCTGTTTGGTTAATTTGGAACAGTAGGGGGGTGCAAAACGAGAGTGCAAATTTACTGTTTCGGCTTACCCCCCGAATTGGGGTGCAAAGGAAGGAAGGAAGAGAGGGGGAGGGGGGAATTATGGAATTTTGTTTTTCTAATTGTGTTATATATAATTATATAATAATTAATATTATCAATTTCTTCTTTTTATAAATATCATTAATGTAAACATTATTCGGGGTTGACCATTTGACTCTGGAAACAAGTTTATAAATGTTCGTCAAGTCAAATCTAGATCTCTTGGTTGAATCGAATTTGCATTTAAAATTAGATATACAAGGTGTTTGTGGAAAAGATAGAGAGAAATTGTTTGGTTAACTCATTTTATTTGACTAAATAGTTAAAACTTACAAATTCGAACGTGTTTGACTAAGTTTGACAATTTAAGATTAAACTAGACACGAAAACCCTATATAGGATGACCAGTTAGGAGTTGAGCTTCGAGTTTTGAGATCGCTCGATCAATGATTATTACAATTGTTATAATTAATTATTATTTGAGCATTATTATATAATAACTATTTTTAGTAAAGTATATTTATTATTATATAGTAATATTTATTTTATTATTTTATGATATTATTTATAATTTTAAAATCTATTTTATAATTTTAAAATCTAATAATATAATTACTTACTTTGCACTTTATTTGCACCCCCCCTACTTTTTCATCCAAACAACAATTTACCCCTCCACTTACACCCCCCAGAAATTTGCACCCCCCCAGCAATTTGCCCCTCAACTTGCACCCTCCTGCAATTTGCACCCCCCTTGTTGCCAAACAGAGCGAAACACTCTGTTTGGGAAGAGGGGTAAATGGGAGGAGGGTGCAAATGTGAGGGTAAACACAGTTTACAACACATTTGCACCTGTTTGGTTAATTTGGAACAGTAGGGGGGTGCAAAACGAGAGTGCAAATTTACTGTTTCGGCTTACCCCCCGAATTGGGGTGCAAAGGAAGGAAGGAAGAGAGGGGGAGGGGGGAATTATGGAATTTTGTTTTTCTAATTGTGTTATATATAATTATATAATAATTAATATTATCAATTTCTTCTTTTTATAAATATCATTAATGTAAACATTATTCGGGGTTGACCATTTGACTCTGGAAACAAGTTTATAAATGTTCGTCAAGTCAAATCTAGATCTCTTGGTTGAATCGAATTTGCATTTAAAATTAGATATACAAGGTGTTTGTGGAAAAGATAGAGAGAAATTGTTTGGTTAACTCATTTTATTTGACTAAATAGTTAAAACTTACAAATTCGAACGTGTTTGACTAAGTTTGACAATTTAAGATTAAACTAGACACGAAAACCCTATATAGGATGACCAGTTAGGAGTTGAGCTTCGAGTTTTGAGATCGCTCGATCAATGATTATTACAATTGTTATAATTAATTATTATTTGAGCATTATTATATAATAACTATTTTTAGTAAAGTATATTTATTATTATATAGTAATATTTATTTTATTATTTTATGATATTATTTATAATTTTAAAATCTATTTTATAATTTTAAAATCTAATAATATAATTACTTACTTTGCACTTTATTTGCACCCCCCCTACTTTTTCATCCAAACAACAATTTACCCCTCCACTTACACCCCCCAGAAATTTGCACCCCCCCAGCAATTTGCCCCTCAACTTGCACCCTCCTGCAATTTGCACCCCCCTTGTTGCCAAACAGAGCGAAACACTCTGTTTGGGAAGAGGGGTAAATGGGAGGAGGGTGCAAATGTGAGGGGTAAACACAGTTTACAACACATTTGCACCTGTTTGGTTAATTTGGAACAGTAGGGGGGTGCAAAACGAGAGTGCAAATTTACTGTTTCGGCTTACCCCCCGAATTGGGGTGCAAAGGAAGGAAGGAAGAGAGGGGGAGGGGGGAATTATGGAATTTTGTTTTTCTAATTGTGTTATATATAATTATATAATAATTAATATTATCAATTTCTTCTTTTTATAAATATCATTAATGTAAACATTATTCGGGGTTGACCATTTGACTCTGGAAACAAGTTTATAAATGTTCGTCAAGTCAAATCTAGATCTCTTGGTTGAATCGAATTTGCATTTAAAATTAGATATACAAGGTGTTTGTGGAAAAGATAGAGAGAAATTGTTTGGTTAACTCATTTTATTTGACTAAATAGTTAAAACTTACAAATTCGAACGTGTTTGACTAAGTTTGACAATTTAAGATTAAACTAGACACGAAAACCCTATATAGGATGACCAGTTAGGAGTTGAGCTTCGAGTTTTGAGATCGCTCGATCAATGATTATTACAATTGTTATAATTAATTATTATTTGAGCATTATTATATAATAACTATTTTTAGTAAAGTATATTTATTATTATATAGTAATATTTATTTTATTATTTTATGATATTATTTATAATTTTAAAATCTATTTTATAATTTTAAAATCTAATAATATAATTACTTACTTTGCACTTTATTTGCACCCCCCCTACTTTTTCATCCAAACAACAATTTACCCCTCCACTTACACCCCCCAGAAATTTGCACCCCCCCAGCAATTTGCCCCTCAACTTGCACCCTCCTGCAATTTGCACCCCCCTTGTTGCCAAACAGAGCGAAACACTCTGTTTGGGAAGAGGGGTAAATGGGAGGAGGGTGCAAATGTGAGGGGTAAACACAGTTTACAACACATTTGCACCTGTTTGGTTAATTTGGAACAGTAGGGGGGTGCAAAACGAGAGTGCAAATTTACTGTTTCGGCTTACCCCCCGAATTGGGGTGCAAAGGAAGGAAGGAAGAGAGGGGGAGGGGGGAATTATGGAATTTTGTTTTTCTAATTGTGTTATATATAATTATATAATAATTAATATTATCAATTTCTTCTTTTTATAAATATCATTAATGTAAACATTATTCGGGGTTGACCATTTGACTCTGGAAACAAGTTTATAAATGTTCGTCAAGTCAAATCTAGATCTCTTGGTTGAATCGAATTTGCATTTAAAATTAGATATACAAGGTGTTTGTGGAAAAGATAGAGAGAAATTGTTTGGTTAACTCATTTTATTTGACTAAATAGTTAAAACTTACAAATTCGAACGTGTTTGACTAAGTTTGACAATTTAAGATTAAACTAGACACGAAAACCCTATATAGGATGACCAGTTAGGAGTTGAGCTTCGAGTTTTGAGATCGCTCGATCAATGATTATTACAATTGTTATAATTAATTATTATTTGAGCATTATTATATAATAACTATTTTTAGTAAAGTATATTTATTATTATATAGTAATATTTATTTTATTATTTTATGATATTATTTATAATTTTAAAATCTATTTTATAATTTTAAAATCTAATAATATAATTACTTACTTTGCACTTTATTTGCACCCCCCCTACTTTTTCATCCAAACAACAATTTACCCCTCCACTTACACCCCCCAGAAATTTGCACCCCCCCAGCAATTTGCCCCTCAACTTGCACCCTCCTGCAATTTGCACCCCCCTTGTTGCCAAACAGAGCGAAACACTCTGTTTGGGAAGAGGGGTAAATGGGAGGAGGGTGCAAATGTGAGGGGTAAACACAGTTTACAACACATTTGCACCTGTTTGGTTAATTTGGAACAGTAGGGGGGTGCAAAACGAGAGTGCAAATTTACTGTTTCGGCTTACCCCCCGAATTGGGGTGCAAAGGAAGGAAGGAAGAGAGGGGGAGGGGGGAATTATGGAATTTTGTTTTTCTAATTGTGTTATATATAATTATATAATAATTAATATTATCAATTTCTTCTTTTTATAAATATCATTAATGTAAACATTATTCGGGGTTGACCATTTGACTCTGGAAACAAGTTTATAAATGTTCGTCAAGTCAAATCTAGATCTCTTGGTTGAATCGAATTTGCATTTAAAATTAGATATACAAGGTGTTTGTGGAAAAGATAGAGAGAAATTGTTTGGTTAACTCATTTT